GTTTTAAAAAGCACCATTTCTCAAAAAAGCTATCCTTCCTCCATTGAACTGCTTTTGCACCTCTGTCAAAAATCAATTGGGCATATTCGTGTGCGTCTATTTCTGGGTTCTTTATTCTGTTCCATTGATCTATGTGTCTATCCCTCTGTCAATACCACAGTCTTGATTACTGTCACTAAAAAGAAAGTCTTAAAATAGGGTAGAGAGACTACTTACAATTCATTCTTCCTTTTTAAAATTGTTTTATCTATTTTGGTTTCTGTGCCTTTATATATAAATTTTAGAACAAGCTTGTCTGTATCTATAAGAAATCTTGCTGTGATTCTAATAGGAATTGCATTAAACCTATAATCATTTTGGGGAGAACTGACATCTTTACTATGTTGATTTTTTCCAATCCATTAATGTCTCTCCATTTACTTAGATCCTCTTTCATTTCTTTCATCAGCAGTTTGTAATTTCCAACATACAGGTCCTCTACATGTTTAATTAGATTTATACGTAGTCACTTCATTTTTGGGGAGACTGACTATCAATGGTGTTATGCTTTTAACTTTGATCACCATATGATTATGGCTAATCTATAGAAATATGATTGATTTTGTGTATGTGTCTATCTTGTATCCTGTGACCTTGCTGAACTCACCTACTAATTATAGAAGGGGGGTGTGTGTGTGGGTGGGTGTGTGCATTCCTCGATTTTCTACATAGACAATTGTGTTATCTGAAAGTGGGGGCAGTTGTATACCTTTCTTTCCAATCTGTATGCCTGTTATATTACTTTCTTGCCCTACTGCACCGGTTAGGACTTCCAGCCCTCTGCTGAGTAAGAGTGGTAAGAGTGGTAAGAGCAAACACCCTCAACTTGTTCCTAGTCTTAGGGGGAAAGCATTTAGTCTTTTACCCCAATTATGATGTTAGCAGTAAACTTGGCATTTCCACCCTTGGCCAAGTATCAAAGAGGAAGTTTTCTGAACATAAAGTTTAAAGGAACATACATATGAGAGTAAGTAGAGTAAGTTGCTTTTCTTGACTACAGTCTACCTCCTTCCCTCATATAACAATGCTTTTTCTCTCAGAGGAAGACGACCTTCCGCCACCATTTATACAGTTCCAGTGCAATAGGCACATGAGTAAGTTCTGGTCAATTCATCCATCCTAGCCTCTGGACCAAGCAGTTAGTCTAATAAAATCCAAATAAAGAACGTTTTTGGAATGATTAGATAAAAGCTCTCTTTCCACTAGACTTACAGATCAGGGATCAACGAACTATGTATGGCCCATGACCCAAATCAAGCCAGCCATCTGTTTTTGTAAATAAAGTTGTTTTTTTTTTTGAGACGGCGTCTCGCTCTGTCGCCCAGGCTGGAGTGCAGTGGCCGGATCTCAGCTCACTGCAAGCTCCGCCTCCCAGGTTCACGCCATTCTCCTGCCTCAGCCTCCCAAGCAGCTGGGACTACAGGCGCCCGCCACCTCGCCCGGCTAGTTTTTTTGTATTTTTTAGTAGAGACGGGGTTTCACCGGGTTAGCCAGGATGGTCTCGATCTCCTGACCTCGTGATCCGCCCACCTTGGCCTCCCAAAGTGCTGGGATTACAGGCTTGAGCCACCGCGCCCGGCCCTGTAAATAAAGTTTTATTGAAACAAGGCTATACCTATTCATTTACATATTGTTCATGGCAGCTTTTTAGCCACAGCAGCAAAGTTAGTAGCTGCAAATGCGACCACATGGCCCACAAAGCCTAAAATACTATCTGGCCCATTACAGAAAAAGGTTACTGCCCCCTGTTTTTAATAAGAAGACGTAAGCTTGGAATGAATAGTAAGGAAGCATCTCACCACTCTATGAAAAGAACATGTTAGAAAATGAAGCCAATACAAAAGAGGAAACCAACTCCAAATATTACGTAAGTTCCCGGATTCGGATGAGCCACAGACTATTAGACTCCAGTATTTTTCAGTTATGTAACCCAATAAGTCCAGCTTTTCCTCAAGTTTGAATTGAGTTTCCTACATTTGAATTAAAATAATTCAAATTTTAATTTAAATGTACTACATAAAATCCATAACGCTTATTGTAGGAAGACAATTCTAATTTCTTCCTCTATTATACTCCCATCAACACCATAAAGACATTCAACATTTCTTTAGACTAAGATATGACTGTGTATTAAAAAAAAAGTATGATTTAATGCCAAAACTAAATTTAACATTTAAAAATGAAATGTTTCAAAATCAACTGATTTGGGGCTTATTTACCTTTTCTTTGTTTTTCAACCAACCATCCTAAGGTATTATTGGACAATGAAAGAACAAAAGAATGGAAACTAAAAGTAACCCCCTCCAAAAAAAACAAAACAAAACAAAAAAAACCCACCAACACCAAATAATCCATCAAAGAACAACTGAGATAGAAGTATAAAACAGAAGATAGTTGCCACTGTTAACATCTCCCTGAAGTAAGGCAACCACACTAACACCGACTAGAGAAAGAGCTAACTAGAGAAATCCAAAGCTCCCACAGGGACAGATTTAACTAATTAGGGAGATGGTGATTAAAGCTGGAGCTGCTAATTGTCTACTGGCCATGTATCTCTAGTAATGTCCCCTAGAGGCTTTCAGCAACGGGAGACAAAATTAAGCCTAGTATTACTGTCAATTACACAGACATCATTTGTCTATATTTATCTCCCTCTTTAGGAAACTAAAAAGCACACAGAAGTGTGGTTTTCAGTGCAAGCTATATGTTCCTGTGAGGAAATAATTTTATATTATGTTTAGAAACAAAATTATTTTGTGTTTAAACTTGTTTTAATTTGTACATTCCAGAGCAAGAAGATGTTTCTTTCAACAGCACACTTTCCATCTGCAGAGGCCAGATGTTAATCTACAGGAAAACTGAAGTGGTTAGTAAGAAGACCAATTATACACAGAGAACAAATATCTAAGTGGTGGGGGGAGAGGATGGGGAGGCTTAAAATGGAATTAATTGGTGAGGCAGTTTTGGAACTCCAGCTTATCCGGGGCAGGGGGAGAGATGGTAGTGGGTTTGGGGTTTTTTTGTTGTTGTAATTTGGCTTTTTTTGCCCATACCAAGAAGAGAATGCCATACAGGATTGTTCTTCCTGGGCATTTCCTTCCCTCTGAGTTGAAGAATCATTCCAGGGAGGGAGTGAAAGTACTGTAAAAATGAACTGAGAATTCTTAGAAGGCAATTTGAAATTTTACCTCCATTAAAGATGAAAACTGAGTATGTCTAGGATTAGACATGGGTCAAATTCTAGCTTTGCCACTAGGATGGAGACTGCCAACTATTCACAGTATCCTTTCTCCTCTTCTTCTCTGAAATAACAACACGCCCAGGGTCCTGGCAGGGCCCATGACTGCCTATGTACAGCCTAGGTTTCCCAGCCTGCTCTGCAGGTAGATGTGGCTGTACCATTATGTTTGAGCCAATGGAAGTGTCGTGTGCATCTTCTGGGTCCTTCAAAATGCTTTCATCCTCATTTTCTGGCTGGAAAATGGCAATGACTGGAGCAATGTGGGAAGCCGTGGGCTGAGGATAGCAGAATGACCCTACTAGACATGGACTCCTCCCTTCTCGGCTCTAAGAGAGAAATACACTTATCTATCTTACATAAACCACTGTACTTCGGAGTCTCTCTGTTATAGCAACCTAGCCTGTACCCTACTAATACAGCCATTTACTATCTGTGCAACTTGGGGCAAGTTATTTAACCTGTCTAAGCCTCAGTTTCCTCATCTATAAAATGGAATCACAGCACTTATTTCATTAAGTGCTAAGAGAAATAAACAGGTTAAGAGATGTAATGTGCTCAGTCCTGTGCCTAACAAGCAAAAAAGTGTGCTCAACAAATAGTAGATAATGCTAGCAAAAAGAAAGATCTACTTGGGAAGCTTCTTTCAAAGGCCTTTGACATCAAGCAGCTATTGTGTCCATAAAGCCTCAAAGGTAGAAATGTGTATCTGGTTTTGAGGGTTCCTATGGGTAACAACGTATTCAGAGACAATCAGAGCTATCTTATATTTTAGCCCAGGAGAAGAATTAAGATTAAACAATGCTTAATTATAGTTTAGCAAACTGTGTCTAAATCATTATTTATTTAAATCTTTAAGAGACCTTGCTCTGTATATTATTAAATGTCATACAATACTAGCTATTTCTTTATGCTTAGTTGACTGCGTCGCAAGTTTGTATAAAATATGGCTGAGTAGAAAGGTACATAACTATGTTGCCAGACCACCTCACCAAGGTAAGCTGAGAAAGAGACACACAAATCAGCTGGCATTATCCAGCTTGATGCAAAGAGTTCTACAGTCAGTGGAGCCCATGGCCTACTTCTTCCTTGCACACATTTCCTCCCTTTGGTGTAAGCATCAATTATTGGCCCTCTGGCATTGTAGATTCTTTTTCTCTTTTGTTGGTGGCACATGGTTAGACTGTACTCTTACGATTTCTGCAACCTTGAGATTTGCTGACTAATAGAGTTGAGATCCTTGGAACTAAGATAAGACGACTACAATGATTCCAGGGCTCTTACGGATTTTACACGTCACAAGATGCGGAACAACTATGAGATTACATCACCCAGCTGAGGCCAGCATTGCTGAAATAGCAGCAGGGATCATATTACCAGGCTCACCTCCCTCCATCCACCCTGATAATGTCCCACTGCTTATAAGGGGAGGTAAGTTACTATGGGAGACTGAACCAGAAGTCAGTGATAAAAGACGGGAGTTCTGGTGTAATTCTATGCAGAAGCCATGCCTTAGGACAGAGAGGTCAAAGCTCAAGAACTATATCTATACAGAAGCAATATCAATATTCACAAACATAAACCTAGGAATAAAAAACCACCTCTAGTACATTGGTTTCAAGAACCCAAGGCTTTAGAACAACAGCAAAAATCACTGCACTAGGGAAGCAACAAACAACTCAGGGCCTTCATTCTTGCTGTACTTCCCTGAATTGTTACTTACAGGTTCCCGGCCATCCATGGCTTCCATCCAGAGCCTCCGGTCCTCTTCCGACAACGCTTGCATGGTGATAACCCCTGGCCTGCAGAGAAAGAAGGGACATGGATATGAAACCAGTGCCACATGTACAGAGATTGGTGAAGGCGAATCTTAAACATCCACTCAAAAGAGTCAGTGGTTGCTAGGGTTAACGACACAAAGAGGGGTACAACCCTCGGCTTTACTAAGCTACCTTCTAGTCTCAGAAAAGATGGCCCAAATTCCTCTCAGTCAGCCCATCTCCCTCAGAGAGGCAGAAACACAGAAGATATGACCCTATTTTACAGGTAAGGGACATAGAGGAGTTAAGTGGTTCCTTTAGACACTGTTCAATTCCTTGAAATCTTATTCATTTCAAGACCTCAGAATGCTTAACAGAGTATGATACTCACAGTAGAAATGCAATAAATGTTTGTGGAAGTGAATGGAATTACTGGACTCAAGACAAAAAAGCGGAGAAAACATCCAAGCTGGAGGCATGCTTGTCTCCTAATATCTAGTCCACTGCTTCTAAATTGCTTCAGACATGGAGAAGTTTTATGGTGGTCATCATCTTGGTAGTTATGATTAAATGTGCACAGTCTTTAAAAAATGAATACTTAATCATGTCAGGTGCTAAGTGCTTTACATGCATGAGATCACTTCACTCACTGAAATCGGCTTGCTCCCTAAACCTGAGCACAAGCCCTCCAGAAGACATGCACACAATATCAAATGGGTTTCGTTCAGTTCCCATCACAAATGGTACTCCACAAGAAAAAGAGACTGTGAGATAAAAACGACCTTGGGAGAAGAGGCTGAAAGCCCTCTACGCTCATTAAAGCAGGAGTTATTCATTTAGGGTGAAGATAAATCCCAGAGTGTCCCCAAACCACCTCCTCCTCTCCCTCAAATGTATGTGGATTTTTCTGTAGAAACAATTCAAATTGTCCGTCAAATTCTCAGAGAGAACTGCAACCCTCAAAAAGTTAAGAATTGCTAGTTAAAAACCATCTTCTTTAAAATTTGAGACAGCCTAAAAAGGAGGAAGAAGTCCACTGAGCAAGAACTAAAGTCTGATTCCTGTCTGAGTGCACAAACACTGCAAATGATCATACGACAATACGGTATGAAAACTACACAGGCTGAGCAACACCCTTAGCAGCACAAGCCTGGGCCCCATAAGCACCCAAGCTTGCTCATTCTCACCCGCCCATCATCTCCGCTTCTGGCTTATAGCTATAGTTCCAATGAATATGCTAAACCTATTTGTTTAACATAATTTAAAAGTCACATTTGATTCTTTTCATTAAACATCCCTCAACATCCCCTTAAAAAAAACTTTAGAGCTGTGGGCATGTAAAAACAGATGGGTTGGGGATACAAGGGGCATGGGGTAGGGGTGTGAATGTGTGAGGGTATAAACGTGTGTGGGGTCGAGAGAGACAGAGAGAGAGGGAAAGCACGCAAACAACCAAGAGGAGGGAGAGAGAGAACAAGCAAGAGACAGAAAGGGGAGTGGGGGTGTATGTGGGTGAGAGGAGGGGTGGGCAGCTAGACAGGTGGGCGTGTTGATGACGGTGGAACACTGATCCCACTGATCCCAAAGATTAGATATCTTTGTATCTAATACAAAGATAACTCAGAGGATGGAATAACTCTTCTCTCCATGAGCACCTTCCAGGACTCTCCCTCCTCTTCTCAGAAATTCTCATTCTCAGACCCAACCAAGTGCCCACTTCCCACCATCAGCCCATTCAGTGTGCCAGAGTCAGTGGGTATCTGCAGACAGCTGACAGTGGTGGCTCCACAGAACTGACTCTGTGGCTTGAGGGCACGATGGACTGATTCTACCCTTCCACCTTTCTCTAAAGACCAAGTACGACATCTTAATAGCTTTGAAACAAAAAGCCTCTGCAGCTACTGTCTATTGCAGAACTCTCAAGTCCCCGGTTCTGGGTCTTTCAGTGTTGCTGCAGGTGCTGCTTCTGTACCACCTGCTTCAGAATCAGACATTCCCTTAACATGGAGACTCCAGCCCAACCCCACTCCACTCAATCTGAACTGGGCTGTGCCTGGGAACTTGGATTTTAACCAACTCCCCAGGTGATCTTGGTGCAGAGTTAAGTTTGAGGCCCACACCCTGGGCTGTCCACTCCATCCCTACTCTTTTCCTTCCTGTTCCCCTTGCCCTAGAGTGCAAAGTTACCCTCCTTTCTGCAGTGAGGTCAAGGAGCCAACATGTCTCTAGTTCGTTTCCTGCTAGTGGCCCACCAGCAAACAGTGAGATCACAAGAGCTGTCTGCATACCACGGTCTCAGGGGTTCACAGATATTACATCAACTTCATGGCACACAGTGTGAGATTTCCACCCAGAGCCACAAAGAGGAAGTTCGACAACCTCAGAGGCTGTGAAGGGTGGGCCACTCGGCCTTGGTAACCAGGAAAGTCAACAGGATTTGTTTTCATTCCAAGAAGAAACATCAAAATACAAGTTCTTTTCCACATGTAGTCTTGTTCCCTTTTGCAGGGGGAGTGGGGTAGGGGACGGATGCACATGTCTTACATGTGAATTTCCAAGAACAAAGGTAAAAAGGGTGAACTATCTTTATTCTGGAGTAAAACCGTAACTTTCTTTCCATATTTACCTTCCTCATGCCCTACTAATAATTATCCCTCAAAACAAAATAAAACAAGCAAAACCCTCAACGACCCTCCACTTTGCAGGTCAGTCCCTATAAACTAGCATACTTTGAGACCTGCTCTTACAGGATGTCAATTTAGTTCATGTTTGAAATGCATGTGGTTCTTCACAGCAAAAAAATGGGCAGGGCTAGGGAGACAGAGGAGAGAGAGATTAAAAGTAGGAGGATAGGTCGGGCGCAGTGGCCAACGCCTGTAATCCCAGCACCTTAGGAGGCCGATATGGGTGGATCACGAGGTCAAGAGATCAAGACAATCCTGACCAACACAGTGAAACCCCATCTCTACTAAAAAATACAAAAATTAGCTGGGCATGGTGGCACATGCCTGTAGTCCCAGTTACTCCGGAGGCTGAGGCAGGAGAATTGCTTGAACCCAGGAGGTGGAGGTTGCAGTGAGCCGAGATCACGCCACTGCACTCCAGCCTGGCGACAGGGCGAGATTCCGTCTCAAAATAAAAAAAGTAGGAGGATAATATGGAATGAGGAAGGGAACATATAAAACAATGAAAGAGAAGTGGAGTAAATGATCAGAGCTCTTTTTACCTCTACAAAGAATCGTGAGCCTATTAGACTCAATACAATAAAAGAACAGTAGTAAGTATAACCCAGCAGTATGTGCCAGTTGCTGTGCTAAGCACTGTATATAAATTAATTCACCTAATCTTCACAGCTACATCATGAGAAAAGTATATTCTTATTACTCTCCTTTAGCAGATGAGAAAACCAAGGCTCAGAGAGGTTAAGTATCTTGTCCACAATCACAGAGCTGCCAAGATACAGAGCTAGGATGTGAACACAAGCATTCCAATCCTTAACTCTTGTGCATAATGCCATGGCAAATGTGATGGCACCACAGCCCCCAGAAAGCTCATATTGACCACCCAAGTCCTCTGGTGTCAAAATCAGCCACGCACTTCTGCAAGTGCCTTAGTGAGCTCCTGCATGGGATTAAATAAGATAGAATGATAAAGAGCTCTGTAAAAACCTAACGTGCTCCATAAATATGAGGACTTACAACACTACTCTAGGCAAACAGCTAATCCAAAACAAGAATCCAACAGCATCCAGAGTAACTGGGGCTTACTTTCTATAGCAGTGGACCTCCATGTTTTATCTGTCTTAAAAATACTCAAGAGATGGAAAGGCAATTAGCTTTTCTTAAAAAAGAACACAAAAAGTCATAATCATAAAGAAAACATATTGAAAAATTGGACTTCACCAAAATGAAGAACTTACACTCATCGAAAGATGAATTTAATTACTTATTACTTTTATTTTAAAAAAAAGTCAAACCAGAGTGAGAGAAGATATTTGTAATATCTATCTCCTACAAGACTCATATCCAGAATATGTAAAGAATGCCTAAAAATAAATAAGAAAAAATGAACCACCCAATACAATAAATACTTGAATAAGCACTTCATAAAAGAGGACATCCAAATGGCCAATAAGGCTAAGAAACAGAGCCCAAACTGATTACTTATCAGGGAAATGTGATTAAAACCACAATGAGATATAACAAGCACCCTCCTGAATAGAGGGCATTAAAAGGCCACCAATAACCAGTACTGGCAAAAAAATGTAGAGTAACTGGGACTCTCATACATCGTTGGTGGGAGAATAAGTTGATGGAACTACTTTGGCAATATCTGCTAGAACTAAACATGCACCTGCCCTATGACCTAACAATTATACCTCTACATATATACTCAAGAGAATTGAGTACATATGTCCACCAAAAGGTACATTCAAGAATACCTGCAGTTTTATTTAGAATAGCCAAAAATTGCAAAAATAACAACAAATAAATACTCATTGATAAATGGATAAACTGTTGTATATTTGAACAATGGGACACCATACAACAATTTTTTTAAAAAGAATCAACCACTGCTACATGCAACAACATGAATGAATCTCAGAGATGTAACGATGAGGGAAAGAAGCCAGACACAAAAGATTATGTGACTGTGTGACTCCACTTCTATAATGTTCAAATACTTGCAAAATTCATCTATGGCAACAGAAGTCAGAAGAGCGATTTTTTTTTTTTTTTTTTTTGAAAAAGAGATATGGGCAACAACTGAAAAGCGGCACAAGGGTATCTCCTGGAGTGACAGAAACATCCTATATCTTCATCTGGGTGGTTACACAGTTGTGTGTGTATAAAAAGTTATTAAAATACAGACTTTGGATTCATGCATTTTACCGTGATTACACCTCAGTAAAAATTGTTTTAAATACCCAAGAGCTATGACTTCTCATCAATAACTTAGGCTCACTAGTTATTCTGATTCTAGTGCTTCCTAGATGTATAACCATGGCAGACTAGCAACTGAACTATTCTGTGCTACTCTTA